TTAGGTCCCACGACAGGGGATGCCCTATGAAGGGGTCCGCATCCCACGTCCTGCGGTCACTATGACCTCGGGTTGTAAAAGGGAGTCACTCAGTTGGGCAGCAAACCTAGTACCTTAAGTCTGTCAAAGAGCCAAAGGCAGCATTCAGACCCCACTCCCCAGGCCCCCGCACAGACCGCACCGCAGCAGCACCCAGACCACACGCCCAGAAACTTCCCCAGAGGAGGCCCTCGCACTGAGACCCTGCGTAATGGTCACAGGCCAAGCAAAGGAAGAAGGCAGGGACCTGTCCCTTCAAAGCCAGCATCTCTGGGTCTGGACAGAAATCCAGGGAAGGCTGGAGGCTGAGGAAAGGGGGATATGCAGGATGCATGAAGAGTTAGGGGTGCAGAAGAGCTGCCTCTCGTTACCTGTCCCCCAAGAGGGCTTCTTTCGGCTCCAGGAGGGAGGTGCCCCGGCCCGGGCCCACTTCTCGGGCATCTCCTTGGGAACCGTCATGGTCCCGGTATGAGTGGGGGAGGGCGCACTGTCTATCCTCCGCTTCAGCAGTGCCTACCGCCTATGGGGCGGCCCCCAGGGGAGACGCAGGAGCTGCGGCCGCTCAGAGGGGAGCCCCGGCCATCCTGGGAGCACAGCCCCTTCTGCCCAGGCCATCCTTGGGGCCGCGGCAGCCGCCCGCCCGGACCTCCGAGAGCTCAGCGGCGCCGCAACCTCTGGATCCCCCGCAGCCCCAGCATGCGCACCCCAGTGACCCGGGACGCCTTGCGCAGCCCCGGCTCCGCCCGCCCCGACTGCAGGGGCCGCACAGCCAGCGCCGCGTAGGCGACCGCCAGCGGAGCCCCGCCTCCCTACCCGGGCCGGCCAATGCGGCGAGCGAGCGGACGGCGTGTCGTCGGGGGCAACCGCGCTGGTCCCCCACCCCCGCAGGCGAGAGCGCAGAACCGGGTGGGTGGAAAATGAGGCAAGGAGGCGAGGGCCTCCTCTGGCCAGAGAGCGGGAGCTGCAGGTGCCTCCAGAGAAGAATACTGGCGTGTGGGCAGGGGGCTTGTGCTCACAGCATCCCACCAGGAAGCCCAGCTAGAGCATCAAACGAAAAAGTTCTCCGAGGCTTCCCCCAGGAAGTGAGGGGCTTTAATCTCCCCTTCCCCAGCCAGGCACTGTGCCGCACAGTTGTAATCCCAGCACTACTTGGGAGGCTGAGGCAGGAGGATGGCTATGAACTACATGGAAGCCAGTCTGAACTACACAGTGAGACCCTGTCTTAAAAAAAAAAAAAAAAGAAAGAAAGAAAGAAAAAACCTCCCCTTTCATAGGCCCACAACAGTTGTCCCTCTTCACTTGGCGCCCTGAGCCAAAACGACAGCCCCTCATGATGGTCCCAGGGACCTCCACCCCTTGCCTTCCTTACCTGGGGGGCGCTTTTTTGCACACAGTGCCATCTCACCCAACAAGGTCCCGGCAATCCCATGGGAGACCCTGCAGGAAGGTAACAGATGCGAGTGGTCACAAAGCAGAGGGTGACCCTTCATTCCCCTCATCAGACCTTCTAAAGTTTCCTTTCTCTAGTTCTGTCCTGCCCTTGCCAGCCCTTCCCCGCTAGCTCCACCAACACTCTCCCTCTTTCTACCGAAGGATAACAAGGAAAAAGGGCCACCCCTCTGCTTTGGGTAACATGGGGGGACTGGGCATCTACCGAAGTCCAAGCCTACAGGGAAAGGGCCTCAGAGATGTGGTCAGACATTAACAAGAGGGCACAGGTCTCAAGGTATCCATCTCAGGGACAATGGATGCCCCATGGGCCCTCCTGGTGACAATGTATGGTGCCTGTACTAGAAAGCAGCATTTCCCCCAAAGGGTGGGGTGGAGGGAAGAGAAGCCAGGAAACACCTGGCAGGGCATCAGGAAACCAGTAGGCAGGCTCCACCCTTCTCGAAAGGCTCATAAGTCCCCCATCCCCACCCCCAGTCTTGGGGCTTCCATTATCACCTCCTCCACAGAGGAGCTCACATCAGAGGGCTGGCCTTCACTTCCTGCTCAGACGGTCCCCAAACCACTTCCTCTCAATCTGGGCCAGCTTTCCTTCTGGGCCAGCAGAAGGGTCTTCCAAACCATGTCAGAAGAGGCCCCCCTTGTCTCTCTTGTACACTAAACCTCGTCCAGTCAGTGCAACACTGGGTTCAAACTCAGCATCAGTCATCTTCCCACGTTCCCACATCCTTTCTCCTAAAAAGGCAGAAAGCCTCAGCTGGGAGTGGTGGGATAATCCCAGCTACCCAGGATGCTGAAGCAGTAAGATCACTAGGTTCAAGGCCAACTTGGGCAACTACCAAGACGCTGCCTTCAAATAAAAAAATAAAAAGGTCTGGAGATGTAACTCAATGGTAAAGAGCCCGCCTAAGGTCTGAGGCCTTGGGTTCAATCCCCAGTACAACAGCGGGAAAAGAGAGGAGGAGGAGGAGGAGGAGGAGGAAGTGACCACAGAACCTCAACCCTATTTTCCAGCCTGACCCAAAGGAAAGAGTAGAAGGCCTCCCACCTCCTCCAAGGTCCCCCCACCTCCAGCCTACTGGGCACACCCCACCAGCCTGTCAGCTCCAAGGGAGGCTAATTGCCTGTCTACCCAGCCTCTATAATTACAGACTCTGCCCATAGCCCTTCACCCACACCACTTCTCCCTTCACCAGCAGACTCCCTCCCTGACCCCGGATCCGGCAACACTGGCAGCCACAAGTCCTCTTCCTCTCTGACCCTCCCCAGATGTGGCAGGCAGGGGTGCCTGGCTCAGGAAGAAAAAATTTCATCCACATTTTAGAGATGCCAAGTCCTCCTCCAGGGCCCCCAGCCAGGGTCTCCACCCAGTCTAGAGTATGAGTCACGAGAGGGTGGGGTGGGGAGGCAGAGGCTAAAGGCGAGGATGCAGGGTGGGCATCGAAGGTTCCCCAGCCAAGCCCACACCGGAAAGCGATCCAGAAACACTGCCTGCCCAGGGGTCTGGGTCTGTCTCCTGAGCAAGAGTTAAAGGAGGAGCCGGACAGCCATCGGGAGGCAGGAGTCTGGGACCGGACCAAGAAAGTTGTTCTACATCTGAGACAGTGGGGAGACTGAAGCAGGCTTGGCCCCAGAGCCCATCCCCGGGGTGGGGACAGTAATAGGCAGGGAGAGGGAGAGGAGCACCGCAACAGGGACCCCCACACTTACTCCTTCCCAGCCTCACACAGCCCGGGCTCTCTGAACCGGTCCGGCCCATCAGCCACGTCGCCCTGCCCTGTCACCCTGCCCCAGCCCCCTCTGCAGCCACATCTGGGATAAAAATAGCCAGCCCTGGGAAGGAGGCGATGCTTATGGAGGAAAACGGCCCCTCCTCTCGCCTGCCCCTGCTCCTGCTCCTCTCCAACCAAGACTTTCCTTCAGAGCAGCCCGGCAGGTCCGGGAGACCCAGGCCCGCAGGTCACCTGCCGTCGCCGCGGCCCCGAGCCCTCTTCCCGGGGCGAGAGCGGGACCCAGGGCTCTCCGCACAGCTCTGGACCCCGGACTCCCAACCCCGCGGGCGCAGAGCCCTCCACCTTCCAAAGACAAAGCCCACCGGCCCGAAGTCCCTCCTCCCGGCCTGAAAGCCCGGACCCGGTTACCCCAGCGCCCGCCCCAACTCTCCGCGCCCTTTCGTCCCCCGCCTCCCGCCCCCCTGCGCACCGCCCGGTCCCCGTTCCTCGCGCCCGC